GGGGAAATCGACGATTCCCCTAATGCTGAACATGGCGCAGAATTTTTCCCCAGACATCCCAGTGTTAACAGCCAATCCTGGCATACAGGCTGACCTGTCTGGCTATAGTGCGCTGGATGTTATGCAGCTGTTCTTGGGGGATGAGATTTTTGGGGAGATAGTCACCCAGACTAATCTCTATGCGGAGCAGTATCTGGCACGCAATCCAGACTCTTATCTCCAGGAAAGAGATGGAACCCAACCAGTGTGCCAGAATTGAAACAATTCTGGGCACTGCCCATGTTAATGGGGTTAATTAAAAAGCCCACAATTAGGATGTATAAAGCTAAACATCCTATTTGCAATACCCCCATTTTTGCCGAGACAATGCCGAGGGAAAGATATGAAGACATACTGCGATTTATGCACTTTAGTGACAATAACAAGTGCCCCCCAAAAGGTGATCCGCAGTATGATCTTTATAAAATACGCCCTTTAATTGCCCACTTTAACAGTAAATTTGCCACTATATATACCCCCAATAAAAACATTTCCATTGACGAGTCCCTCATGAAGTTTAAGGGAAGACTGGGGTTTAGACAATATATCCCATCCAAAAGATCCCGATATGGGATAAAATTTTATAAACTGTGTGAAAGTGGCTACGTATACACCTTCCAGGTATACGAAGGAAGGGATAGCCACCTTGATCCCCCAGGTTGCCCAGATATAGTAGGGACAAGTGGGAAAATTGTCTGGGACTTAATAATGCTACTACTTAATAAAGGTTATCATTTATACATCGATAAGTTTTATAATAGCATCCCACTGTTAAAAATGTTATACTGCTTCGAGACCGTGGCCTTTGGCACTATTCGGAAGAGTCGCACAGGTTTCCCAAAGGCTCTAGCGAACAAAAAAAATGAAAAGGGGGGAAACAGCAGCTCTCTGCCAGAATGAACTGCTGGCACTCAAGTACAGGGATAAAAAGGATGTTTTCATCTTAACCACCATCCATGGTGAAAACACTCGGAGGGTCGCAGTTCGTGGCAGAGAGGAATGTAAACGGGTGCCAGTCTGCATACAGCAATATAATCGGCATATGGGGGCCGTTGACCTGTCCGATCAACTGATGCAGCCGTATTTGATCATGCGAAAGACCAGGGCATGGTATAAAAAAGTGGGCATATATCTGATGCAGATGGTAATCCACAATGCCTTTGTCATTTTTAAAAAGGCAAATCCTGGTCTGAAAAGCACTTTTCTTTCATTCCAGTTTGAGCTCATTTCTGGGCTACTTGAATGCCACACAAGGAGACCATCAGTGGAGGCTAGCAGAAGAATGGAGGCAGGTCACTTCTGCTTTAAGATTCCACCAACCCCTAAAAAACAAAACCCCCAGAAAAGGTGCAGGGTGTGTTACAAGATGGGCGTAAGAGCTGAGACCAGCTATTACTGCCCTGATTGCCCCTCTCAGCCCGGCCTATGTATTGGCCACTGTTTTAAAAATTTTCACACCCAGGCCGAATAAGTAGACCAGTTTTGGGGTGTGATTTGTAGTCATCTGTCTGATAGGTTACCTAATCTTGGCTTTGTCTCCCGCTTATCCTGTCTTCTCTGATCCTTGACCTCGGCTTGTCCTATCGTTGTTCCGTTTCTCTTTACTCGTTTGACCTCGGCTTGTACCTTGACAATTCTCTGCTTGTATAGCCCGGCCATTCTAAGGACCGGTATTACAAGTTTCTCTCTCTGTGTTCTCTCTTTGTGGTCAGTCTGTGTTTTGGTTTCGGAATCCATGACAGCTTTGCCCGGGATGCAGATGACTGGGTACTACCCCCGGATAAGTTTACCCCAACTATTTCCCCTTTTCACAGCAAATAGTATGGACTTGTTCATAATTTAAATTGATGAGCTGCTTATACTTAAAAATATATGTGGCCTTTGAGAGGTAATTTGCAGTCCGGAGCTGCTACAACGAGCCCAGCATCCACTTTTGAAAAAGTGGTGTGTCTCCAATGTGCCCCTTCAACATCCACATAACCCTGAGAAAGGTACACATTGGGTTATCGTTGCACTAAGATGACAGAGCTGAGCAACATATTAGGTGTTATACTACCGTAGCACACATAAGGATAGCAAAATATACAGTAACATCTCCAAGTGTGTGTCAAAAAGGCAGAAAAAATGCTAATTGCAACTAGACTTGGTACAAACTAACAAAAAAATGATCCTACACTAAGGTTTAGAATATACCTTTTGAAATACCCTGGGGTGTCTACTTTCAAAAATGGTAGGCCTTTGTGGGGTAGTTTGAATTTAAAACCTGCTAAGATGCTTGGAAATTGCACATCGGCCCAGCGTCAAAATTCAAAGTTCGGTTAAAAACTGATATGGCTTGGTCTCCTATATGGCACTGTAGCTTCACGAAATAGTGCCAAAGACATACAATGGGGGTGTCATTTTACTCAGAAGACTTAGCTGAACATAATTTGGGGGGTTTGAACTTAGTGGCACATGTGAAATACACAAAATGACCAGCAAAAATGCACAAAATTATTTACCACATACTTTGGCATTTATTGGTGAAAAAATGGGGACATGTTGAGGCACAATATGCACCTTATGAGATACCCTGGAGTGTGTACTTTTACACAGGCCTTTGTGGGGGTTTTTTGAACAGTCAAACTGTTATAATACCCCAGATTAAAGCATAGGCTCATTAAATCCATCTCTCAAAATTCTACTGTGATTACTGAAAAGGACAGGTCTCCTATATGGCACTGTAGCTTCACGAAACAGTGCCAAAGACATACAATGGGGTGTCATTTTACTCAGCAACTGTAACTGAACACAAAATAAAACTTTGTACAGGAATAGCACACACCAACTTTACAAAATACACACAAGAAGTTCTGTGTTATAAGTTTGTGTGCTAAAAACCAAATAAAACACAATTTTACTCCAATATTTAGCAGAGGTTGGCGGTGAAATGGCTATGTAGAAAGTGTCAAAACAAATCTAGGTAAATAGCCTGTGATGTCTACTTTATATAAATATATACTTTTGTGTGGCAATTTTGTTTTCTTTTATGGCTATTAAGCTTACAAGACAAACATACCAAATTCTAAAATCGCTCCACATTAAAAGTCTATTTTACTCCTTGTGCTTTGTGACCTGTAACTACCAAAAAAAAACTTAAAATCCCAGACACATTATATATTCTGTAAAACAGAACTAAATTAATTTATTTTTAATTACTTTCCTTAACCTGCACTAATCATGCACACATTATTGCAAAAACTGTAAAATAAATTTAAATTTTTTTTCATTTTTTTGCATATTTCTGTATTTTTATTATAAATAAGCATTTATATATATATATATACATATATATATATATATATATATATATGTGTGTGTGTGTGTTACATCAAATTAAAGCCCTTTCTGTCCTTTAAAAAACGATATATAATATGTGTCGGTGCAATAAATTAGTAAAATGCAAATTGCAGTTGAACGCAAACAGCAAAAAAATTCAAAAAAATGCTGCTGTTATAAAGTTAAAGACAAGCTTCTGAAGCTCTGTCCTTAAGGGGTTAAAAGGAGCAAAACAGCTCCTGAGGACGTCGCGACGATCAAAGGATGAAACGCGTTGAGCAATTACAGAAGAACTTTAGGCAAGTTTCAGAACCTTTACATACTTACATTACCCATATCCAGGAGTCGTGACCAGTGGGACTTTTAATTACGTTGTGAGTCCTGGCCCTGAATTAGAACATTTTTTTTTCCATGTTTTATGGCTTATTTTAACTGTTTGGGAAATAAATTGTATTTTGATATCTCACTGATTATCTTTGTCTTCCTGTATTATATTGTTTTATATACATGAGTATATTTAAAACAGCAGGACTGGTAAATAGTACTACGTGCCGGGTATCTAGCGCCCTCTAGTGGAGTATATTATTCCACTGTACACATCCTTTTTGTTGTTAGTATAAGATTTAGCAGAGACCCTTAGGTAAATAGCCTGTGATAATACAGAGAAATGTTTTATGCTATTTGAGAAAGCCTTATTGGTGAAACACGTATTGGTTATTTTATATTGTGTATTTTAAGATCAATTAAAAGTTTTTGGTTACTTACTGTGCCAATTCTCTAATTTTTTTTATGCACTTTTACTATTTTTACTTTCCTGGCTTTTTACTGTTGTCCCTGCACTTAAAGAAACCCCAGGTGGGGATCGTACCACCAACGCTTTATTAATAGAGCAGTGTTCCTGCTCTACACTTGTAAGTATTATTTTAGTTACTCTTACTTACTCTTATCTAATTGAGAGCACTATTGTCGCCTCTCTTTATCCCTATTAGGAGCCTTGGATGAGCAGACTGTTGACAGAAGCACTCCCTTCACATGTCCCATAAACGAGGATTGTATCGCTGTACACCCTTCACACCAGAGCTGGCCATAGCGCTCTTAAATGTGAGTTCTTTATCTTACTATTATTTTACCCTCTGGATTTTAGACGTATTGCACTACTGACGTGTCTCCTTGTTTTTCGTATACGCGAATACCCTGAGACACTAGGACGCACCAACTTCTACTAAAAGGTCTACTCATCTTTATTCCATCAAGCACTGTCACTCTACTGAGACTCTTTTGGACTATTTTACGCTATTTTATCTATTTATTATTTGTTACTGGCGCAGCCCTACCCCATTTATCTGTATTTTCCCATTACTTGAAGAATTTGATTGGTCTCCTTTGATTGGGTTGCTGCCTATCCTCATATTGTTTGTTAATCAGCACTGATTTCCTTCTGTATTTTGTGTAAATAGCCTGTGATGTCTACTTTATATAAATATATACTTTTGTGTGGCAATTTTGTATATCGTGACCTGTAACAACCAAAACTAAACCAAAATGCTAGACATATTAAATATTCTGTAAATCAGAACAACTAAATTAATTTATTAAGTGGTCTTGCATGGCAAGACCACTTAATATATATATATATATATGTGAGATAAGAGAAAGTGGTCTTGCTATGCAAGAACACTTAATATATATATATATATATGTGAGATAATAGTAAGTGTTCTTGCATAGCAAGACCACTTACTCTTATCTCACATATATATTATTATAGCCAAATTTACCACCCTAACTCCTCCCACAGTTTTTACACTACATAGATAGTAATATACCGAAACGAGCGGATTGTTCCCGATTGGTGCACTATTACTTTGTGGAACATTTCGCCGTTTCTGTGGAGAACTTGGTCCTATATGAATGAATGGCGAAATGTTCAAAGCTAGAGTGTGAGCTAAAAAATTAGGACATGATTTCTAAACTGTCACCACTCATTTATCCTGCTGCCACTAAAGATGTCCACGGCTAAGCCATAGTCCTGATAATTTTCACAATATGACCATTTGTTTGCAACTCACGCTGTCCGTTGACATTCATTGAACTCCACTCTAGCCACCTCAAATTTGAAGGGCAATTTCTAAACTGCTACTGTATCTTCATTTTTAATATTTCAGAGACATACTATGCATCAAAATGTAGGTCTGGGTCTTGTGATTCCCACAAAATAAAGCTCTTCGCTGTAGGATTTATAAAACTACAACCGTTTGAAGATGGCAACTATTATCTCACATAATACTGGTGGAGGCAAGAACACTTCAACACAATTTCCCCAGAAATTGTAGCCTTCCTAGTTTTTAATTACTTTCCTTAACCTGCACTAATTATGCACACGTTATTGCCAAAACTGTGAAAAAAGTGTCTTATTTTTATTGAATTTTTTTTTTAAAATAAATAAATGAGAATTTATATATGTATATATAACATATATAAAGGGGCAGAATCACTAGTAGTATTATATATATTTAATAATTGTAAATAGTTTTTTTTTTTTAGCTGGATATGGTTACACTTTAGGCGGTATAGTAACAATGCAAATATCTCTTCAGAATTATTGATACCTTACTTTGAGTCAGGCTTTTATAAGTCACTAGTAGACAGGGTTTCTTTTGAAGCTTTATTTTTTGATTTGTCCCTCTATTCTCTCCCTGACAGGATTTTGCAAGGTGAAGAGATCTTACAACAGGCCCTGGAGTATTAATGCATAGCAAAAGAAAGAAGCGGGAAAATATGAAAAAATAAATAAAATTTAAAAAATACATGTTTACCTGGAGCCCTCGCAAGGACCTAACTCACATGGCTTGGGGGTGCAGGAGGAGGCAGGATCCGCCGCGTAGGACTCCCTGGGATCCCAGGTGAGTCCCCCGACCGCGAGCATGGGATCGCCGGCGACCGGGTAAGTAAGAAAAACCGTGAGGGCGTACTATTACGCCCTGCAGCATTTAGAGCCGCTTAGAATAGGGCGTAATAATACGCCCTCCGGTTTTAAGGGCGTAAAACAGTTTAACAGTTCAGAAAATGTCAACATGTCCTGCATGTTGAGGTTTAGTGCAGAGTGCCTGTGTAAATTAACATTTAAAGGATTTTACAACATCATAAGTATATTTATACATAATATTGATGAGCGTTCAGGACTTTCTAATGTCTCTGGTCCTTTTTAATAGTGTACTTATTACTGGAGACACTTCTCCATTCCAAGTTATTTTTTTAATACCATGGTAAGCTAGCCTAACAAGACAGGCGTAGAGAACATTTCTGCAAAGTTGTAAGTTATTGATTTTAATTCCTGGTGATAAATTCATTGTAGGTTGCGATGACCTTTTAGAGAGAGATGATTAAAAACTGCACAGCAGCAATTTCAGATTTCCAAGATGTCAATTTCACAGGTTTATTTTGAGTGCTCTACCAGAGTTTGTACCAACAGGAAAAAAAAGTTTAAAAGCCACATAATATTTATGCCTTGTTATATACACAATGTCATCTTTAGAATACAATGGCAAAAAAGTATGTGAACCCTTTAAAATACACTATATTTATTAATACATTTTTTCAAAATCTGTCTTGAACAATGCAGAGCTCTCAGAAGACCTGTAATTGAGAATTGTTCCATTGCATAAAGCTGGAAAGGGTTACAAAGTTATCTCAAAGAGCTAGTTATTCATTTGTCCATTGTTAAATTGTCTTTTTGATGATTTACTGCTGTGGCTACTCTCCCAGAAGTGACCATGCTGCCAAGATTATTCAAATGGCCCACAGAGAATTGCCCTTAAGAGGGAAAAGTGATATGAAAAACCTCCAGTTACTTGAAGCGCAGGGGTTAATTTTCTGTTTGTATTTGCTTTTGTATTGCAATGCTGCCGCCCACCCCATGTGTTCCCTATTAAGGGTCAATACGTGTGTAGGGGTTTAGAAAGTTATCCCTCTCTGTCTCATTCAAGATTTTGCTTTTTACCTGAATTGTTAAGACTCACTGTTAAGTTCATGTGGCAGGTTAGCTTTAATGGCCATTGGAGCGATAAAAAAAAAGCCTCCAGTTAAGTGTGCATAGGGATTTGGGATAGTGCACAAGTTTGGTCTGCTAGGCTTAGCCTAAAATTAAATGACCTATAAATGATTTGATATAAATGCAGCACGTGTTGAATATTTAACGTGTAAATAATGGGTAGATTCGGGAAAGGACATATCTTGATTCAGGAAAGGAATAGACTATGCGTACTTTATCAAAAAATTAGAAGCTGAAGAAATCACTGCAGGATTTTGCATTAATGACATACGTTTACCTGGCCTTTAGAACACACCAGTGACTGACTGTGGGTGATCAGCAGGAGTACCAGAGTGGAATGGAGGTATAACATGTTCACCGCATTCCAAGGATCCACAGGAGAAAGCATTTCAAACATAAGGGGTTATATAAAAGAGTTGTGTTCTGAAAAGTGGTTTAAACGGATAAAAAGGGGTAGAATCACCAATGCAATGTGTCTGTTGGTTCCACTGGTTTCCATGGTAATTGCCCCATTTTAAATCAAAATATGTAAACTTTTATACATAACCTCAAAAATCTATGTAATTGATTTAATATAAAAGCTTTATACAAACGCGTATTGATGCCAAAGAGGATTCTACCAGTTGTGAAATACAAAGGTTCACATACTTTTCCAGCCTAGGTTAAATGTTTTAACATTATGTTCCACATAGACAAGAAAAATAACTTATTGAAGCAGGTTGCATTGGTGTAATAATGTAGAAGAGGAGTTACTGGAGAATATGGTTCGTGCTATAAGGAGGCAGACCGGGCCATCAACCACATGAGTCTTAACTTATCAACACAAACGGACAGTGTGGTGTCCCGGGTCAACATGGAGCAGAGCCAGCATCAAAAATATGATTATGCAATAACCATGCCATAGGTCACATAGGGGTACAAGGTCGCAAAGATCAGTGGTCATTTTGAATTTGACGATCATGCAAAATTTATAATACGTTTAGATTTTTACTGTGAATTTAAATTCCTGTAAATAACTTATCTATATGTTAGGTTTATGCACTTGCTATGTGCATGCTCTTATATTTGTTTCACCTCTAAAAGTCAATTAGTTACGTGGTTTGGCTGGCAGCTGTGTTGAAGTCTTGACCAATATCACAATCATTTTTTTAAAATCTTCAAAATCAAAAATTCTTTACAACAATGTGGTGATAACAGTTGTGGTGATAGCAGTTATGGTGTTCTCTGCCATTTGCATTGTGAAGCCTATATATCTTATGGTCTGGCAGCCATGCTGGTTTTTATGCTTAATGACCCAAAATCCCCACTATATAATTGTAGGTGATTTACTGCTATGGCTACTCTCCCAGAAGTGACCATGCAGCCAAGATGATTCAAATGGCCGATAGAGAATTGTCATTAATAGGGAAAAGTGATACAAATTTTTTTTCAATATAATAGACTGAATAGCAGTTAGTTGTCTGCAAGCGTCTGTGTGTCAGGCTCACAGTGGATACTGTGCCCACTTGCCACCTGGTGCTGTGATTCCCTTTTGCCCTAGAATAATGCCCAGTTTTCAGATCCGTTTGAAAAGAGTGATGCGCAACCATTATTGACAGAGGATGTAGATAACAGGGATATGTCTCAGTCAGGCAGCATTACACATGTACGGTGTGATGATGATGTACCCGCTGCTGCTTCCTTTGCTGAGTTGTCAGATACAAGTGAAGCGGTTGATGACGATGCGTCCATGGATGTCACGTGGGTGCCCGCTCGGCAAGAAGAAAACCTGGGCGAAAGTTCAGATGGGGAGACAGAGAGGAGGAGGAGATGAGTTGGAAGCAGGGGGAGGTCGTCGCAAGGAGCTACTGGCACAGTCAGACAGCATGCATCGGCACCCGGGGTCAGCCCGACAGCACGCCAATCAACGCATGCTGTGTCCACCACAGTGGATACTGTGCCCACTTGCCCAGTGCCACCACTCACTCACTGGTGTCACAATACCTTGCATTTAAAAACCAAAAAACTTTTTTTCACTGTTATAGATTGAATAGCAGTTAGTTGTCTGCAAGCGTCTGTGTGTCAGGCTCGCAGCCACCAGTGCCACCACTCACTCACTGGTGTCACAATAGCGTGCATTTAAAAACCCCAAAACTTTTTTCGCTGTTATAGATTGAATAGCAGTTAGTTGTCTTCAAGCGGGTGTGTCAGGCCTACAGCGTGTACTCTGCCAACCTCTGCCAGTTCACAGTGCCACTCATATCTGGTGTCACAGTAGCTTGCACGCATAGTATCACTAATCGGAAAAAAAATGACAGGCAGAGGCAGGCTACCCCGCAGGGGCCGTCATGGTCGTGGTGCAGTGATTCCCTTTTGCCCTAGAATAATGCCCAGTTTTCAGAGGCCAGGTACCCTGAACTTGAAAAGTTCTGAGGACATAGTTGACTGGCTAACACAGGACACCCAATCTTCTACAGCTTCCGCTCGGAACCTTGACGCAACATCCTCCTCCAGCTTAGCTTCGGGCACCTCTCAAGATACCACTCACCCGCCTTCCGCCAAAGAGGATGTAGATAACAGGGATATCTCAGTCAGGCAGCATTACACATGTACGGTGTGATGATGATGTACCCGCTGCTGCTTCCTTTGCTGAGTTGTCAGATACAAGTGAAGCGGTTGATGATGACGATGCGTCCATGGATGTCACGTGG